GAGGTTTAAATTTTATAATCACACCTTTATATAATCACCATATTAGGGCGCAACCAACTTGGTGATTATATAGAGGTCAGACTGTATTACCAAATCCAAGACCGAAATGTCTTTCATAATGCTGATTCTATATTATAATAATACTATACAAAAAAAAATATTGAGATCGCCAACGACACTGAAATGACAAAAGCTTATTAAATTTACCACTAACGCCGAAATGCAAATTGAAACTACTAATAACACCAAAATAACGAAAGCCTGGAATTGAAATCTTCGCAAGTACCGAAATGACCAAAATGACGAAAGCCTGGAATTGAAATCTTCACAATCACCGAAATAGCAAAGCCTGGAATCTCTACAAACGACGAAAGTTTAACTTACTACAGATACTAAAATGCGAATTGAAACCACTGACAACACTGAAACAACAAAGCTGAAACCTACCACTAAACTAAAATAGCCAAAACGACGAAAGCCTGGAATTGGAATCTTCATAAGCACCGAAATGGCCGAAATGACAAAAGCCTGGAATTGGAATCTTCGCAATCACTGAAATGGTGAAAGCCCAGAATCTCTACAAACGATGAAAGTTTAAACTTACTACTGATACTGAAATACGAATTGAAACCACTGACAACACCGAAACAACAAAGCTTAAACCTATCACCAACACCGAAATAGCCAAAATGACGAAAGCCTAGAATTGGAATCTTTACAAGCACCGAAATGGCCAAAATGACGAAAGCCTGGAATTGGAATCTTCACAAGCACCGAAATGACTGAAACAATGAAAGCCTGGAATTGGAATCTTCACAAGCACCAAAATAACCAAAATGACAAAAGCCTGAAATCTCTAAAACCGAAGGCACTGAAATGACAAAAGCTTAGAAAAAGAAAGTTGTATTAGTTTAAGCTAAAAAAGAAGAGAAGGAAAAAAAAAACAATCTACGAAACCACTTATCCTACAAGCTAATTTTTCCACCCACTCAGTTTTAAATGAAGCAAACCTATGAAAGAAAGCTAGTACTGTATTAGTTCAAAGAAAAAAAAAATAAAAAATAAAAAATAAAAAAAATCAAAGAAAAAATAACTTATTTTACAAGTTCCCGGTTCTATTGACAACCTAGTTTTTAGCAAAGTAAGCCTACAAAAAAAATATTAGTTCAAAAAAAAATAAAAATAAAAAAGCAAATAACAAAAAAAACAACATATTTCAAATTCCTGATTCTAATCTTTACTATTCAGTTTCTAGCAAAGCAAATAAAACAATATGAAACAAAAAAAACAACGCAAAACAGATCTAGATCAAAAAAAAGATCTAGATCGGATTAGAGAGCAAGCCGACGGATTCCGTAATTGTCTTGCCAATCTAAAAAATGATTGGCTACTTATATAAAGTCGCCATGGCGACGGGTCACTATATATAATTTTCCTTTTATTATATATAATAAATTGCATAATATAAATAAAAAAATTTAAAAAATATTTCTATAAATTAAATAAATTAATTTAAAAAAGTACAATAAATTATATAATTTTTATATATAATAAATACTTTAATATTTATACAATAATATATAAAATATAATATATTAAAAACTTTATTTAAAATTTTATTTATTAAAAAATATATTAATTGCTAATTCAGCACTATTGCTATATTAGTACTATAAAATTAAAACAAGTTTTTTATATAAGTTTTATAATATAATAGAGTAGAATCTGGTATTAGCTTAAAATAAAGTTTTTTTTTTACTAAGTTAATCTTTTTTTAAGCTTAACAGAGTTGTAGAGCTTATTTTTGTGGTTTTAATGGTGGTAAAATCATCTAAATTGGTCTAGTAGTTCTTGAAATATTATAATTTTTCTTTCTTTATATATATAAAACTTCTTTAAAAAGTTTTATATATAAAAAAAAGAAAAGTTATAATATTTCAATAACTACTAGGCCAATTTTGATGATCTTGCTACCATTAAAACAGCAAAAATAAGCTCTACAACTTTTCTTAAAGCTTGAAGAAATATTAACTTAGTAAAAAAAAACTTTGCTTTAAGCTAATATCAAATTTCACTTTACAGTATTATAGATATCTAAATTTAT